GCATGTACAGGTATACATAAATGCATTTGCATACCTGTGTATATATGCCTCAGCATGTTCATAAATAAACTGCAGCCACTTTGCTCTATGCGCCCTTTGGCCCTGGGCGTGGGAGCGGGTTCGTTTTCCACGTTTTTGTTAGCTGCTGTAAGGGAGCTAGCAGGTCGAGATCCAGCGTTCACCCCAACAGCTCAGGAGGTTTGCCCCTTGCTGTTTCCTGAGGACCGTGCACCTCACCTGGACTGGTTCAGTGTACTGGTTGGTGTGCTGATCGGATTGCTGCTCGGCCCCGTCATTGACTTCCTCTATTTACTCCGGCACTCAACTGCTCGCCTCCTTAGGCCGGCTGATTGTGCTCCTTCGAAACCCTTGCACCGTGTTTTAGATGGGCAGCCGGGACGTTCGCCGCATTCGTCTCGAAATTGATTCCATCAAGAGCTCCATTCATTTGCTGACCGAAAGGGTCGCGGTGTTAGAGGCTGAGGTCGAGGAGATCGAGAAGGGGGAGAGGTTCGAGGTGTTGGAGGAGGAGTCCCGGGTGTCTTCTTCTGTTTCGGAGGGCAGCTTCACTCGCATCAGCGCTGCTCCAGCATTCAGTTCGGCTACGGGGCCCGTTGAATCCGAGGACAGGCAGGGGAGGATTGCTCTAGCTCGCAACATCGGGCAGTTCGTGAAGCGGGCATTGCGAGGAGAGCGCTTGGGCACTTCCGGCAGGGACCGGTTGGCTTTGCAGAATCGTTGCTACCTCATTTTTGCTGAGTTTGAGGGGAACCATTTGGAGCCTCCTATTTTCACTCGGAGCTTCGCTGACGTGAAGCAGAGGTGCAAGCGAGGGCCAGATTGCGGCCGTGCGATCTTCATCGGATTGGCTACGGCTTGGGAGGCAGTGATCGTTGTGGAGGAGGCAGGCTGCACCTTGCCTGCTTCTTTGAGAGATGGCGACGGAAGCTGAAGGGCAGCCTCTTGCGGAGGCCGCTCTTGTCCTGCCTGACGGGACAGCACGACAACACTACGAGCTTGTTCACCTTCGATTTCAATCTGGTGGAGAAGCGAGATGCGTGAATCTAGTTTTGATTGCTCAAGTTGCACAAGGTGGCTGGTTGGTGGCCGCACCAGAGGCGGTATGGTCTCGAGTGGCTGCAGATCGAAAGATGCCCCGAGGAGCTCTCAGTCAAGCAATTTTGGTAGAAGTTCTGACTGCAAGTATAGAGAATCCAGAAGTCCCTTTGGACAGCCAACGGATGAATCTTTGGGTGGGCCGCCTGGATCCTCGCCTGGTGAGCCGGCTGCAGATAGGAGGTGGGGAGAATCCTGCTTTCGATGTTTGGGTTGCTGCGGAGGAGGATGTTTTTGGCGAAGAGCGCATGACGACCCTGATTCCGTACGGCCCAGCATTGGCCGAAGTGGCCGAGGAGCATTTTGCCTTTGCATCTGCTGCCAGCGACCTTGGGGTGGAGGCTCAACCTCTCGAGGCGTCCGAGGCAACTCAAGTGCCTTTTTCAGACAGGCTAGACAAAGTCGAGGAGGCTGTCCTTCAGATGCGAGAGATGCTGGAGAACAGTTTGCCTCAACGACCAACTCCTCCTGCCGAGCGAAAGTCTGCACTGAAGCGTCCTCAGACACCAAGTCAGCCAGTGGATGTACAAGCAGCTCGGAACCCTCTACATGTTCGAGGACTAGACCCTGCAGTCGTTGCATCGGCCTTGGAGGCCGGAATTCCAGAATCCCAGTTGGTGACACTCGGGGGTCTGCTGCGCAAGACTTCAAAGATGGACGATGTTCCTGCGCGCAAGCCCTCGGGCAATGTGCTGAGCGAGAGCGAGGGAGAGGACGACGATGTGGAGCTCCTGCCGGACGCAACTCCTGGGGAGCCTGCAGCTGCAGCGGACGCCTCGGTGGCAAAAGCAGTGGTCCAGTTGACGAAGATCGTTGGTTCTTTGGCTGCCCAGAAATCCAAAGGCAAGGACTTGGAGTCGATGCTGGACTGTGCAGAAGGGGGCGGAGAGTCATCTTCCTCGAGCGGCTCATCCCGCTCAAAAGCGGCTGCCTTCAAGAAATTGCGAGCAGCCCTCACAGAAGCACCAGAGAAGTTGTCCAAGGTGATCGAGGAGGCGATCGACGAGGATTTTCTGCAGGTGAAGAATTCGCCTGGGGTGTCGGCCCAAGACTTCAGCACGCGAGCTTGGGTCGAGCATCGTTCGAAGCTTCAGCATTACCCCCAAACGATCCGCATGGCTTGGATTCTCGCTGGGGCGCACGATGCCATGCGCCAGAAGAAGTTCGAGGAGGCCAAAGCTCGCATTTTGTTGGGACTGGTCGCTCTGGACCAAGCTTCGCTGGATGCAGGCAGTTGGGCCCTTGCTCAGGAAGTTCTCCTCGAACCTCCTGCACCGTTCCACAGTTTTGTGGGGCGAAAGTTGCCAGAAGCTTGGGAGCAAACGACATCGAAGCTCCTGGACGACCGGGTTGCAGACGTTTTGATGTGGAGGCTGAAAGACAGAGACTCCTTTGTGGAAGCCAGAAAGAGGTTGCAGACGAGTCGAGCGCCGAGAGCCGATCTCCCAAAAGGAGAGCCCAAGGCTCCAGGCCCGGGAGGAAAGAAACCGAAAGCAAAGAGCAAAGGAGGAGGAAAAGCGGCTCCGGAGGAGGAGCCACCAGTGGCAAATTGAGCGATCATCGAGGGCCGGCGGAGCAGCCGGCTCTAGCGCCTGGTGAGGGCGCATCTACAGTGCATGCTTCCAGAATTTGGTCAGATGTATTTTCTTTGGTTGCGAGGATCAAGTCGAGACTTGCAGCTGCCTTCCACTCAGCACGGACCAAGCCCTCGCAGATGAGGGCTCCCTCAGGCGAGGTGTGGCCATGCCCCTTGCCTTTCCCTGAACTGCACCGCAGAAAAGCAAATCGCCAGCAAGCAGATGCACCGAGGAAGCTGGCTTTGAATTTTGTTGTGCTGGTCATGAATTTGTTTCACAACGGGCGATCGCATTTTGCTCGCTCAGTGCCTGGCTTGGGGACTCCTTTGAACTTTGAGCAGTGGACTTTTGTGAAGAGGATGACTCCACTGATAGACCAGTGGAATCGTGAGCCTCCCATTACATCCGAAGCTATGGGACGGGCTGCTGCCAAAGTGGAAAGTGTAGAAACTTTGCTGGGTCATCTTGAAGCCGCTTTGACGCCCATCGCGTCGGGGCTCAAGGGCTACGTCTCCAAGGTTGGTGGCAAGCTGCCCACCTGCTGGGGCCACAGAGGTGATCCTGGTTCAGTGGTTGGAACGCTGCACTCCAAACTGGAACACGTGGCAAAAGCAATTCAGCCGGAGAGGCTGAAATTCTGGAAAGTGCCGAGCTTTGATCCTGCCCCTTTTCTGGATGAGGAGAATCGTTCTCGCTTTCTGGAACCTTTCGCTCACTACCTCACTTTCGAAGACGGCCCACCTGCACCTCCGCGGGTGCGAGTGAGGGTAGCCGAGCGGGACAAGGTCCGATTTTTGAAGCTGCTGGACTCCACAAACCGTTTGAGTTTCGCTGCGCCACATGAGGTCCGGGAGGGCTATGAGAATGGAGCCTTTGCAGTGCCGAAAGATGGGTCGCGAGACCGCATGGTGCTTGATGCTCGGCCGCCTAATTTGCTAGAGGCCTCGGAGAGGCGATGGATAAAGAGCCTTGGCAGTGATGGGCAATTGCTTCATTTTTTCATTCCGCCCGGTTCGAAGCTAGTCATGCATGCTGAAGACCTCCGTGAGTTTTACCATGCTTTTGTGATTTCACGTGATAGGGAGCTTCGTAACTGCTTTAAACTTCGAGTAAGGCCTGAGCAAGTTCGCTCCCTGAAAGCCTTTCGTGAGCACATGTGGAACGAGAAAGAGCTGGTGCCTTTGTTGAGTACTATGGCTATGGGCGACCTGAACGCCGTAGCTATGGCCCAGACTGCGCACATGGGGGTTCTTTTGCAAAAGACTGATTTGGAGCTGGAAAATTTTCTGACTTTGAAGCAACGGCCTCAGAGAGAGCCTTGGTTTGCCGGCCTGATGATTGATGATTTGATTTTGGCTGAAGTGATGAAGGTTGAGGACGACAATGCGAGCGGACACTGCGCTCGACTCATGCAAGGCATACACGCTGCGTATGAAGCAGTGGGCCTTCCCCGGCACGAAGGGAAGTCAGTACAAGCTCAGACCACCTGTTCTTTTTGGAGTGTGACAGTTTCTGGCGAAGAAGGCTGGGCTCGACCCAACCTCACCCGAGCCGTGCCGTTGGCCTTTTTGCTTCTGGAAATCTGGCCGGCAGTTTGGTTTCCATCTTTTCTTTGAAGCGACGCTTCATGTCAGTGCTGGAAGAAATCTACGCCGCTCAACGCGGGCGGAGCCGAGACTGCATTGTGCGTTTGTCCTCTTCTTTGGTCGATGAGCTACTCAGCAGCATCGCCCTGATAGCCCTCAGCCACATCGACTTCCGGTTGGAGCCTTGCGACATGTTGGTGGCATCTGACGCCTCCAGCTCTGCTGAAGCTGCAGTCTTTGCGAGAGTTCCTCCTGAAGTCACGGCCGAGATGCATAGACACTCCTTGGCAAAAGGGTTGTGGAGCCGACTGCTCCGTCCCGTTCAAGCCTATCTTCGAGAGAAAGGAAGCTTGGCTGATGACGAACAGCTGCCGGAGGAGCACTATACGATCCACCCGTTGTGGGAGGAAGCCTGCCGCTCTCTGCCGTTTCGTCAGCTGGGGAAAACTAAGAAGATCAGTAGCAGAAGGCACATAAACCTCGGTGAAATAGATGCAGCCCTCGCAGCCGAGAGGGAGGTTGGAAAGCGCAGACCGAGAGGCTACTACGTGCATCTGCAGGACAGCCAGGTCTCACTTGCTGCTCTCCAGAAAGGCCGCTCGGCTTCGAGAGAAGTAAATTGTAGGCTGAAGAAGTCCATCCCAGATCATCTGCACTACCAGACCCGGAGTTTCTACGGCTTCGTTGCAAGTGCCCTCAACCCTGCCGACGATCCTACCAGGTCTAAAGCTGTTCGAGCTCCGGAGAGAGCACCTGCTGCCTGGTTCAGAGACTTGCTGGACGGTGACTGCGAAGCTTTTGATGAGATGCTGAGAGAGCAAGGGGTGCACCCCTCGCAAGTTTCAGAGTTGCCTGAGCCTGATGAGCTCGCTCCCAGAGCTCCTCTAGATCTTCGCTCCTGCAAGCTGGCGAAGGCTCAAAAGCGGAAGCAGAAGCGAAAAGAGAAGAAGACCAGTTTTAGCATCCCTGGTCAGCATCGTGGACCTCATGATGCGGAGGCCTTCGTCGTTCAGGTTCAGCCGCAGAGTTGTTTGACCTCCAAGTCTGTCTCGGAGGGCCTTTCTTTCGAGGAGACTTCAGAAATTCTGGCATATTGCAGCCGAGATCAGTTTCAATTCAGCAGCCGGTTCCATTCCCTCGAAGAGGCCATGAGGTCTGGAAGAGGCATTTTGGAGCTCTACGCTGGAGTGAGGGGCTTTTCAAAAGCTGCATTAAAGCATGGAGTTCCTTGGAGCTTGTCCTATGACATCAAGCACTCTGCCAGCGAGGACCTTAGTCTAGTTCCCTTACAGCAGCATGTTTTAGATTGGATAGGCCGTAGGTTTTTCTGTGCCATGGGAGCCGGACCTGTCTGCGCCTCTTTTTTCTACTGCTGTTACTCCGCCCTGTCGGAACAAGATCTTCCCGCGAGGTGTGCCTTGGTGTTCAGCAAAACAAAAGCTGAAAAACGAAGAGGGCAATGCTCAACTGGCCTTTGTGCTGTCAGTGGTACGGGCTTGCTTAGCATCTGACACTCGATTCTGGGTTGAGAATCCTGATGGATCCTGGATTTGGAAACAAGATGCTGAACTCTCATGGGAAGGCTTGCTGATGCATTCCGCGGTTGGCGACTTTCGAGTTGACTATTGCCGTTTTGGCACACCGTGGAGGAAGAGAACTCGTTTTCGAACAGATTTGCATTTAGCTGGACAGCGCTGTTTCTGTGAATGCAAAAAGAAGCATGTGGTTTTGCGAGGTAGATGCAAAGAGAAAGGTGTGAACTATATACCCAAATGGCGGAGGCCTATCCCCGGCCTCTTTCCGACATTCTCGGAGCTGCTGCGGCCATTGATGGTGGCTATGCCCCTCAACGCAGGAAGCTAGATGTTGCAGCTTGTGCTCGGTGTGTTGCAAGGTGTGTAGGCGAAGCCCTGAAGCCGGGACCAAGAAGACCGGTTTCTCGCGACGTCGAGGTTTCGCTGGCAGATGTGAACTTGCTAGAGCCGGGAACCATTGCCATCCGAGCGAGGATTTGGAGTAACTTCGTTCAATGGGTTTTAAGCCATTTTGGAAAGCAATTTTGGAGGGCTGCTTTGACGCTGCCCCCTTTGTTTTCCCAGTTACTGGTTGCTTTTGGATATCATTGTTTCGAGTCCAGTGTTTCTTTGCATTATTACCGCCAACTGCTTGCGCACGTACAGAGAGAGATTTTGGGCATTCGAGTTTTCATGTCACCGGCCTGGGAAGTGTGCTCGAAATGGGAGCTGGTTGAGCCGATCCAACATCGGCCGCCTTTGCCCGAACCGAGTGTTGTAGGCCTCTCGTGGGGCTGGACTCGCTGGACTACAGCTCTGTTGTTTGCATTTTTCGCTGCAGCCAGAGTAGGAGAGGTCCTGAAAGCACGTCGTAGGCATTTGTTGACTCCAGCCGATCTGCTTTCTGAGCGAAAGGTCGCTTACCTGCAGATTGAAAGCCCAAAGTCCCGTCGTCGGGGAGCCAAGATGCAGTATGTCACCGTGGAGGAACCCTTGGTGATAGAATTGATTGATTCAGTGTGGCAGCAATTGGAGAAAGATGAACCTTTATTTCCTTTATCACCCGGAGCCTTTCGCACCAGGTGGAACGCAGTGCTCAAGCATCTTCAGATTGGCACCGAACACCGGCTAACCCCCGGCTCGCTACGTGCCGGAGGAGCCGTGTTCCTGCACCGATCTGGTGTCAGCATCTCTGATCTTTTGTGGAGGATGCGTTTGCAGCACCAGAAAACGCTGAGCTACTACCTGCAAGAAGTTACAGCTTCGTCCATTCTGCCATCATTAAGGGCTGAAGTGCGGGAAAACATCCAGGTCCTTCAGAGCGCATTGCCGCACTTCGTGTTCACTCGTGCGAGGCCCGCAGCGCACAACCGTGCATAGCTTTGCAGCTTCAGTCAGTTGTAGGCCTCGGGAGCTTTGCGGATGTGGCGGCTCCAACTTCG